CCACCTCCGTCCTTGTAGCCGTTGCGCGCTTTTCAGAAGAATGCACGCGGCGCTAAGGCGGGAGCCAGTCCCAGTCCGCTATCTTTGGGATTGTTGGGAACTTTTCTGACGAGTAACCGATGGCCCATTCCAAACAATTCCAAAGTAATCTTAGGAATTGTTTGGAATCGATGACCCATTTTGAACACGGCTGGTCAATCATCCGTGTAAGTGTTGCAGGCTTCAAGAGCGAGTGCGCGCGGCGCTGGTGCCATAGTCCAGTTCTGAAAACGACCAGTCCTCCAGACCGAACGTGCGCAACGCGAAGGCGAGCGCCCCGCTTCGAAATCCATCCGGCAAGATGCAGCTGAGCTTGAGTATTTAAACTGCAGGGAAGTAAGTTGTAAGTTGTAATACTCGCGTATCCCCACCAGCACACCCAGACACGCTCGCCAGTTGAGTGGCATTGATGGGGGTAGCGTAGAAGCATGCATTGCGTCAGCCGCCTTGGATTCCTTTTCGGGGTGCGGGGAGGGCTGGTCTGTTGAACAGGTCGACCTGGCGCCATTTTGGCTGTATTTTTTTTTCTTGAGGTCCTCTTCGACAGATGTTGACCTGCCACGGTTACGTCATCAGGGAGGGGCTCCTGCACCACCATGATGCCAATGCTTTTTCGAAGTGGTTAAGAAAGCAGCAGATCTGCAGAGAAGTAAGCTGTAAGGAATTGTCTACCGGAGCGTCTGATCCAGCCTGCGGACACGCCTGGTGGTGCAGCAGGCGTGAGGTATTTGTCAGTTGGGATGGAGGAGGGGGGAGAGCGAAGAGCAAGGTAAACCAAGCAACTGTCGAACCCAATGTCTCTTCCTATTTACGAGACTTGCGACGTTTGGATCTAAGTGGCTATTGAATGAGGACTTGCCACAGAAAGTACCTTGTTGGCGAGGAAAACGCACTAGCCCGGAGACAAGCCAATGGAGAAACACCCAGTGTCGACTCGCGGGCTTCGCACCAGCCTCAGCTACAAATGCACCATGTCGGTCGTGTGTACTCCCTCCCAGGGCAAAAAGGTTCGAAGCGGCCGTACTCGCCACAACAGAGATCCCAGAAGCTCTGGGCACTCGCCTCAGGGAATCTGAGACGGGAGGGGGGAGCACACCACGACGTTGCAATTCTAGGTCTCGCTCACTAACCCGGAACGCGGGCGGCGGAGGAGGAGGAGGAGGAGGAGGAGGAGGAGGAGGAGGAGGAGGAGGAGGAGGAGGAGGAGGAGGAGGAGGAGGAGGAGGAGGAGGAGGAGGAGGAGGAGGAGGAGGAGGAGGAGGAGGAGGAGGAGGAGGAGCAGGAGGACCACTACGAGAGGCAGGAGGTCGAGGGGCCTCGAAGCGACCGAGGGCCGAGGTCGAGGGCCCTAGACGGGCCCCGCGGAACGTATTGTCCTGAAGTACGTGTAGCTCAGCTCGAGAGGTGATCGAGGAGGGAGCCGCCGTCGTCGGCACACCTCCAGGCCTTCCCGAAGGCCTCGCCGACGTCGAAGCAGCATCAGTGACAGAATTCCCATGCGAAGACCAAGGATTCGATACAGCATCATTTCCATCACCCTGGCGAGGATCTATCATTCACACAAGCTTCTGGACGACTCTCTCTTGCAAGCTAGTTCCCAACATAGGCAAAGTATATCGTGCACCACGTCCGCCAGACTTCTGCATATTCACATGCCCAACCAATGAAGTAGACATCTGACTAACATCTTCTTTTTGGCCCGTAGGCTGGGGGATTCAGGGGTCCCTCGTAGGCTTTGTCATTCCAGTGGTCCCTCGTAGGCTGGGGGATTCCAGTGGTCCCTCGTAGGCTGGGCGGAGCCTGAAAAGATAAAGAACCATGAACAACATCATTTCCACCCAGCACTGAGACAACATTCGCTTCCCTTCGAGCTTGTCGAGCAGCCTCTAAGCGTCCCTCTCCAAGGCCCCTTCCCTTCCGGAACCGCTCCGAACTTGCCACGCCCCCCCGTCCGAGAGGAAGGACTTCACGAGAGCCGCCTCCAGATAGTTGTAGGCGCTGTCGACCACAGCTTTCGGCTTGCCCTCCTGCTTGCGCGTCGGGCGGACCCTGCATGCTCGAACACTGACCGTAATCGTGTCGATGTCGCTCTTCATGATGGAATCGTTCCAGTACTTGGTTAGGACAGCCGTGAGGTCGTCTGGGCACCCTCGAGCGGATCCGATGGCGCGAGTGAGCGCCACCCGCACCTGCACGAACGGCGGCCCCGTGGGATCTGTTGCCGTTGGCGGCCTTGCGGCTCTTGGCTTCTTGGTGATGGGCCACGCGTGCTTGCCTGGCGGCCTTGATGACCGCATTATCCGCGTCGAGGAGGAACGTCAAGGGGGCCACATGCGAACCCTACCCCTAGCCCCCACGATTTCTGAGGGGGAGGGTGGGGTTCACTTCGCCCGGGAGCCCCACGAATTCTGAGGGGGAGGGTGGGGTAGGGTTCGCATGTGGCCCCCTAGACGTGACGAAGACGACGCCGCAAACCTCGCGGAGCTCCGCCGCATTGCTGCGGGACAGCCGCGCCAAGGTGGCCACGAGCGCCCTGAGCGTGCCGCCGCCCTTCCTGCCGTCTTCCGCCGCCTGAGGCGCGAGGTCCTCTGGAGCACGCTTCCTGGGGTTCTCCTCGTGGCCTCCAGCAGCCTCGCCGCCAGCGGGTGCCAGCATCCGAGCTGGCATGGCCCCCCATCTTCGAGGGGAAGTGGTGTGGGGGTTAAGGTGAACGCCTTAGATGAATCTGCAACTCGGGCAAAACGCCTGCCGTGAACGAGCATAATGGGCACGCGATGCACGCGCATCAGCCACATTTGTCGTGCTATCGCGATTGCACCTGCCTCGGACCACTCTCTTAGATGAGGGCCTTCGTGCGCTTTCATGATGAGCGAAGCTGGCTAAGTATAAACAACACTGATGAGTCACGGTGACAACATTGGCTAGAACATGGAACCCATGATGGCTAATACGATGATTCTGCAGAGCTCGCCCATAAGGTAAAGCTCTCCAACACGCCTCCCCATATTCAGTTGCAGTCATACGAGTGTACATGGCTTCAACATCCGCCTCATTTTCCCCCAAGAGGTACTTGGTTGGATGATGGATGACCTGGCGGAGGATATTCTGCAGACAGTGCAGCAACGCGGAGCTGGCGAACGTTGGGTAGTGGCCGTCCCGCCGCTCAAGTAAAGACGCGCCCTCATCAAGGGTAGAGACAGTGTCGATGTCGGCGTACATGCGCTGAGTCCACGAACCAATTACGGCCTCCAAACTTCCAGAAGGATTGACATGACGGTTATAATGCCCCAGAAAGCTCCAAACAGGCAAGAGGGGGATCCCTGGACCTCTCCCAGGGTCCATCCCAGCAAGTTCCCCATCCCGGATCGATTTCTGAAGGCCCCAGGCCCCGAAACGAGCCCCTGTGCCTTGGTCTTTTGTTTCCAGAATTTGTCGGTCGCGACCGACGAGATCGGTCGCTACCAATTTTGCTTCAAATTCTGGTGTCGGTCGCGACCGACTGGCTTCAAAATCGGTTGCGACCAATCGATCGACCGATTGGCATCAGAAATCTGAGGCCACACGTCAACTTTCATGTATTCCAGATTTTCGTTTAAGAATATCCAGAATTTGGACTGTACCCTGGGCGTTTTCTTGGAGCTCCCTTTGTTCGTTGAAAGTCCATACATGTGAGCCCAGACTACTGCTGAAGCACAAAATGCTTGGAGCGAAGTCCGTTCTCTCAGCTTGAAACTTTCTTAGCTCTGAGCAGGGGCGTACCGGTCGCGTCGGGCTTCCTTCTCAAGCTCGGTTCTCTGAGCACCTGCGGCACCAGCTCTGTTCCCGGTTATCCTGGTGTTCTTCAACTCCTACAGGGCCTCCCACCTCGCGCAGGTGTCCCACTTCTCGTGCGCAGCTGCAGGACCGCGCGGCACTCCCGCGCCGACCTGCCTGGTCTGATCGGGCTCCGCGTTGCCTCTTCCCTTGTCTCTTGCTCTTTCGCTTCGGCCCACCTTTCTTGCCTCTTTTCTTGTCTCTTCCGCTTGATATCGGGCTCCGCCTTGCCTGTTTTCTTGTCTCTTGCTTTTTTGCCTGTATTGGCGTCTGGTGCAGCCGACCGCTCGCTTTGGCCAGCGCCCGACCGTCTCGCACACCCCTGGCGCCCGCGGATTCAAACAGAGTGTACCTGTCGCTGCCGTCCGCGAGCGGCGCCCGCGCAGGAGGAGCTGGCCCAGAAGGCGGAACTGGCCCAGAAGGCCGCCGCGGCGGCGCAGGACGCCGCCCCGAGCAGCGGGTCGGGCGACAAGGGGTGGGGTGGGGCAAGTCTCGAGCAGTGGCGAAGCGTCCTGGCGTGGCTACAGGCCCATCAAAAGGTTGTCCAAGAACCTTTTGTGGTTTCCGCGAAATCTTCTTAGAGCATTTCTGGCTGGGGCTGTCTTGTTCTCAACACATCGGGAGTATGTTCTGAGAACGCTGTTTTTGTTCTTAGAACATGTGTGGGTTCTAAGAAAACTTTTGTGGTAGGCCTATAGGAATGCCGGGGCGGTCGGTCCCTGCTCAACAGAAGGCCGCCGCGGCGGCGCAGGACGCCGCCCCGAGCAGCGGGTCGGGCGACAAGGGGTGGGTGGGGCAAGGCGCAGTTTTTCTAGTCATTGTTTCGCCGATGGGCGCGGGCCCCTGGCATCGACTGCGTGTAAGAGGGACCCCTCGCCAGAGGGACCTTGGGTGCGCGCCCACCGGGGTCCCCCGATCGCCGAGCGCGGTGCGATAGTAGCTTCTTGCGCGATTGTGGTTGGTCCTCCCGCGGCCCTCACCAAGCCGCGCGCCAAAGGTCACTCTTACCCAGGGTCGCTTTTGCGTGTAGCCGATGGCCTCCGCCCCGCCCCCTCCATAGACCAGATGTTGGCTGCTTTCGGCGACTGGTCAGAACCCTTTCCCCCCGATGTGCCTGCGCGACTGGTAGAAACAAATCGTCGAAGCACCGACCCAGACCTAGACCCCCCCCAATCCCCCCCCCTTCGGCCAAGTTTCGAAACTCAGAACAAAAAAGCGCCTACAAACGGGAGGGCCACCACGAGGGTGCGAAGTTAGTGGCGCTTCGCGCTTCGTGGTCTGGGCGATTTCAGAGCGAGGCGCGAGTCCCTGATCCCGTTCTGGGGTGGGGGGTGGGGGTGCGAAAGCGCGAAGATAATCGCGCTTCGCGGCACGCGGAATGCGAATCGCGAAAATATTTGCCTTATGGGGATAGCTATGAGGAGAATCCCGGATGCCTTCGGTCGCACGTCATGCGAGCCGTGTGTACCTTCATGATTCCGTCTCGAGAATGCGTTGGCGTCGATGAGCGTCCGGTAATCGATGAGGTAGCGCCGATCTAGCGTCGATTGCACCGCCGATATTGCAACGCCGATTTAGCGTCGATTGCACCGCGTCTGGCACCGAGCTGCTTCGGAGTGGCGCCGCGATGACTCCAAATGCCTCATTCGAAAGAAGGCGGGTTTCAATCGGACCCCCCTCCGAAACAGCACCAACATCTGCCAAAACGGCCGCGGGACCGGGCGTCTGGAATTCGTCCGAGGAGCGCCCAAGCGTCACTGATGATACTCAGGACGGAAAGCTTTGGTCACCCGCGGGGCCGCGAAGATGACAGTGCCTCGCACATCGTGGCTCGGGGTCAGATACAGCTGGCCTTCTCCAGGGGGCGGCGCGAGGGCGCGAAGCGAATTGTGCATCGCGCATCGCGGGGCGCGATACGCGAAGTTGGGTGGCCTAGAGTCTTAGAGAAGCGGGTGTTTCGGGGAGGAGGTCCAGACGGGTCCACGTTGCGAGCAAGTCGCGACGTGGGATGTTTGGAGGGAGTCGAGAGGTTGAGGCCTCCTCCTCGGCCAGCGGATGGCTGGCGGAAGTATCACGTCGTCCGCTTTGCGCGTCTCCGTGGGTTCTCGCATCGATGACGGATTCGACTCTGCGGTCAATTCTGAACCCTGCCGCTGCGGGCCCAATCGATGCTGGGGTGTCGGACCCCCCCCTCTGGGGTTCGTTTGGCTGCATACATCCTTCGCATTCCGTACTCCGGCCTGCGCTTTAGGAATCTGACTTGTAGGGGTATGGGGCGCATGTGGTTGTCAATCGATGGCGCCGCGACTGCGGTGGGCTTTCAGGAGGCCCTTCGCAGAGCCTCCAGAGCTTGCCGCAGCAGAGGGTACTGCGCCCAGAGCTCAGCAAACAAAAGGTGGGACCCCCAAGAGGCCCTCTCCTCCGCCGCCGCAGCTTGGTTTCGTGACACGCCCTCCAGGGGATCTCGGCCCCTTTCCCGGGACTGGCTTTGCATCCCATGGCGTTTCCTGACGATCCAGGGGTTGGGAAGCGGCCCCCATGAGGCCGAAAGCGCCCAAAACGCCCAACAGCCGGCCATCGCGCTTTTTGATTCGTTCGGGTTTGAAGAATTGTGGAAACTGTTAGTCCCCAAGAGATGCCAAGATTTCTGCTGTTCCATGTTTCCGGACCGGGCCAGGCTGGGCGGGGGGGCGGTCCCGCCGTCACACGGGGTGTTGGGTGTCGGGGCAAGCGGCGGGGCGCTCATCGTCGCGGTCACGCTCGGGTCGGGCGGCGGGGGGCAGGTGGGAATGGGGGCCCCTCCCTTTGCCTCTCCTCCTCCTCCGCCTTCTCCTCATCGTCCTCCTCCTCCTCTTCCTCCTCAATTGTAGCCGTCGCCGCCGCCGCAGACATCCGGCGCTTCGATTTTTCGATGCGTGGGTCCTTCGACTTCTCGACTTCTCCCCGCGGGCGCATCTTCCATCCCGGGCAGTCCTTCGAGGCACGGAGGCCCAAAGCGAGCCCTCCGAGACCAGAAGTGGTGACACTTCGGCCGCCGTGATTCTTCGAGGCGCCGCATGGCTGGGCCCCCCGCCGCCGCCGTCGTCGCCATCGCCGTGGCAGCCGTCGCCGTAGTCACGCAGCCGCCGCTGCCTTCGTCGTCGCCGTCGCCGCCGCCATCGCCGCCGCCGTCGTCGCCGCCGTCGCCGCCTGCGGGTCGGCTCTGCGGGTTGCAGGGAGGGAGAGCAGCACGAGCAGCGGCGGGAGCACGGGCGGCGGGGGCCGCACCCCGGCCACACCGCCGGCCGGAGCCCCAGAGAGGCCGAGCCTGTGCGAGGAACCCAGACCCCCAACGTCCAGATTTTTTCGGGACGTCGACCCCCAGAGGTCTCGACCCATTCCCCGGGACCGGCTTCTCATCCCGAGCCGCTTTTGGGCGATCTCCCGGGGCCTGGTTAGATCCCCCCGGAGGCCGGAAGCAGCGCAAGCCCCTCCGCGTGATGTCTTTGCGACCCGGGGAGGTCTGGGAACACGGCCCCCCTGGGCGGCGGCGGCTCGGGGCCGCCGCCGCGGCGGCGGTGCGGCCGTTGCCGCGCCCGCGCGCGCCGCACCTCGAGAGGAGCCCGCGCTGGCGGATGCGCCGCGCGAGCAGCCCGCGGGGCCCTGCAGGCCGGCCAGCCGAGCGCCCTGTCTCACCGTCGACCGTCGAAGGGTGCGACAGTGGTCGAGGGGGAGTCGAGGGGTCGAGGACGACGAAGGGTCGAAGGGTCGAAGCGTCGAAGGGTCGAGGGGTCGAAGGTTCGAGGGGTCGAGTGGTCGAGGGGTCGGGGGGTCGAGGGGTCGGGGGGTCGAGGGTCGAGGAGTCGAAAGTCAGGAGGAAGAAGACGCAGTCCCAAAAATTCCCGACCGCAGGGAGCTCCAGACCCCTCCCAAGGGGGAGCCCCCATCCCCCCCCCCCCGAGGCCCGAGCCCGCCGGCGCGCCAGCGGACGCGCCCGCCGCGGAGCGGGCCGCCCCCGAGGAGCGGCCGCGATCGACGATCGATCGAGGATCGCTCGCTCGCGCCGCTCTCCGTCCGATCGAGGTCGCGGCCTCGGGGCGATTCGACTCTCGAGGGTCGAGGATCGCGTGGGGGATGCCAGGTCGCGGCCTCATAATGATTCGAGCGAGGATCGAGGACGGATCGTCGATCGATCGATCGAGGATCGACGGTCGAGGTTCTTCCAGGATGTTCGACGATCGAGGTCTGGACCCTCTCCTTCCGACGTGGCAGTCGTGACGCGGGCCCCCCAGGGATCTCGACCCCCACCCAGGGCCAGCTCTTCATCCCGAGTCGCTTTTTGGACGGCCTCGGTGTTGGGAGGCGGCTTCCTCAGACAGAACAATTCAAACACGCTGGCCGTTGCGATTCTTGTCCGCCGCCTGGACCTGATGGGGGCAGGAGGTGCAGGAGAAGGAGGAAACAGTGGAGGAGGAGGAGGAGGAGGAGGAGGAGGAGGAGGAGGAGGAGGAGGAGTGGTGACTGCGTCGTGATCTCGACTCCATAGCCAATAGCGAACAGGAGGAGGATGAGGAGGAAAAGGAGCATGGAGAGTGAGAGACGATGGGGATGAAGGACGAGGGGGGAGGGAGGGAGGGATGGAGGGAATCAGGGAGAGAGGGAGGGAGAGAGAGGGAGGGCATGGCATGGACTGGCGCGGTGCGAGAGAGTGAGAGGGAGGGAGGGAGGGAGGGAGGGAAGGAGGGATGGTGGGAGGGTGGGAGGAGGAGGAGGAGGAGGAGGAGGAGGAGGAGGAGGAGGAGGACGAGTGTAAACCCAAGGCGAATCAATGATATTGCAATCGACCTTTCCTCCAAGTTTCATCTTCATTGGTCCCTACAAGAAATTGTTTTCACTGTGGGAAGTGCCTCGTTGGAAACAACCGTTTGAGAATCCTCGACCGTGCCAAAACATCTCTCCTGGAACTTCAACGCCACAAAGCAACATTACTGTTGCATCCAGATGGTCATGACTCCTGCCAGAACACCATTACAGGGACTTCAACACCGCGAATCAACGTGACTGTTTCGCCCTGACAATCCTACATCGTGCGGGAACACCATGTCTGGGACATCAGCCAAGCTAATCCTTGAACCTGTTGCGAACTTGTGAGGCGAACATGCGCGGCGCTAAGGCGAGAACCACACTGTGAACGCGGCCCGCCCTCCATCCGGGAAGCTCTTGCAAGCTTTTAGGGCGCATGTGCGCGGTTGAAGACGGTCCGCCCTCTATCCGCCACACTCCTGCAATCGTTTTGGACGAAAATGCGCGGCGCTAAGGCGAGGAGGCCCACGCTGTCTTTGCCCACGCTGTCCGGGCCGCGCGGGGTGAGGAGGCCCTGCCGCAGCTTTGGCAAAATAGCGTCATTTCTGCCGAAGCCTGGCGCGCAGCTGTGAAGCGGTATTGCGACGCCTTGTGAGGCCACGGCATTTGTGCTCACGTGCTTTGCACTCAGCTTTCTCTCTCTCTCTCTCTCTCTCCCTAAGGCGAGAGCCACATTTCGACAACCATCCGCCCTCCATCATCGTAACCGGTGTGAGGTGGTGAGGAAGCCTCTGGCGAAACGCCTGGCCCGCCCCACCTGCACGTCTCGGGTGGCGACAGGGAGGAGGTCTTCATAAGGAGTAGGGACGAAGGAGGAGGGGAGGAGGAGGAAAAGGAGGAGGAGGAAAAGGAGGAGGAGGAGGAGGAGGAGGAGGAGGAGGAGGAGGAGGAGGAGGAGGAGGAGGAGGATGAGGATGTGGAGGAGGAGGAGGAGGAGTCCACCACTGGGATGAGGGTTAGCAAGGCGGTCATCCCGCAGCTAAGCATCTTGGCAGGGTGTGGCCAGAGTGTGGCATGGACCCGAGTTTTGTTGCACGATCTCCTCGATCAGGCGCACCTCAGGTTCGATCGTCTCACGCTAGGTACTTGGGTCGACGATTTGCGCGCCCGCATTGTTGGCTCCACCAGATGATGATGATGGGAGTGCGTGCACATGAATGGGGTAAGAGAGCGCTTGTCGTCCGCCAGTTTGTCTGAAAGAACATCAATCCCACAATGTGGGATCGCGGCTATATATGCTCCGAAGTCTTTTTGGCTCAAAGGTTGAGCCTGCGACCTCCGTCCTTGGCAGTGTATTGCCGGAGGGCCGTTCCAGAAGCTGTTCCTGCTCCTGGGCCATGGGGCACTGATCTGCTGGCTCTCTCAGCCGACTGGGCCTCCGACTGTGATCTGCCCAGCTGGCGAGTGCAGGTGCCTGGCGCCGAGGGAGCTGAGAGCCGCGGTGCCGGGGGCCGCCGAGGGGGAGAGCCCGCAGTGGGCCCCGCGCCCCGGGCATTCACCGCCGACCCGGCGGGGCAGCTCAGGGGGCGGCTTGCCTGGGAGCGCGGCCGCTCGGCCCTCGTGTGCTGCTCGTGATGCTAGCGCTGTGGCGGTCGCGCCGCGTGTCGTGGTGGACTCGGAGTTCTGGATGACGCTGACGCCAGGGTCCCGATTGCTGAAGGGGTACGTTGAGTGCACGGCGTGGCATGGGGGGCTGGCGCCGTGGCCAATCCAGGGTGTCCCGTGGGTGCTGCAGAAGCCAGACAAGGACGTCTGCCGTGAGTACCTGGACAGGTCCGACTCAGACGGCCTTGAGCGTGACGCCCCGCTGCTGGTGGACGGGCTAACGCCCAGTCCCGACCCCCGGGCGTGCCGCCGCCCGGGGCCGCCGCCGGGGGACGAGATCCGGGCGGTGACCCGTCGGGGACACGCGCAAGCAGAGGAGGAGATCGGCTCCGCGGGCTCGGAGCTCCAGCGGGCTGAGCAGGTGATGGTGACGTTCGATGAGGTGACGATGCTGGACGGGCTCTTGAGCGTCAGCCACCCTCCGCGGCGTCGGGCTTGCCTGCCCGCCGCGGCCGACGCGGGAGCCGCAGGGGCTGCGAGCGGGACGGTCTCCTCTGCGCGCGGGCTGGGACTGATCGTCACGAGCTACGTCTGGGTGCTGGGCGAGTCCTCCGCTATCGGACCCGTGGGCGCCCTGGTCAAGCTGGAGGTCGTGTGCGTGCGTGTCGACAGGTACGACGCCCTGGTCGCTCGTGGGGACGGGCGTCGGAGTGGCACCTACGTTCGGGTCGGTCTCGACGAGAGGCTCATTGCCGACTGGTGCGGGCTGGCCCGAGCGGGACTGCTGGCGGCGACGGACGCCGGTGACAGCGGGGACGCCCGCACATCCTGGTTGGACTACGGTGGGCGGCGGGCCGGGTACAAGGATTTCCGCAAGTGCCGCCGTGGGGCCCGCGGCGTCGCGGACCCGAACCTCCCGCAGCAGGGGCCCTCCACGATGCATAGCCTCGTGCGGCACATGGAGCGCCACGGGGTGGATTCTCGCTTCTGGCCGACAACCTCGGCACGAGAGCGCCGTGCTGAGGACTCGGGCCGTGTGGTGCGGGAGATGCGGCGCCTGGTCGGCATCCTCTTCCCAGGGGTGACCTACGACCAGGCCGACCTCCCGGCGCTCGCCAGTGTGAAGGTGGCCGTGGGTCGGGTGCAGATCATCGAGGATGCGTACCAGGTCGTCGATAAGGCCCCGAACTGGCAGCTTGCACGTGAGCTCGCGGACACGAGCTCGACGGTGGACGCGGTCAAGCCGGAGATGAGGCAGTGCGCGGCGAGGAAGGCGAAGGGGAACGCCGACGCTGCGGCGGGGGCCCAGCGGGCGCCGACGCTCCACGCCGGCTCTGGCGGGGAGGAGACCCCCGAGAGGGGTGCAGGAGGTGGAGTTCCGGGGCGGGGCGGCCGAGACCGCGGCGGAGGCGCTCGCGCCCGCGGCCGGGGCAGTGGCGCCCCCCCCGGGGCCCAATGACGACCATTGGGCACGGCGGGGGGAGTGGCCCCCCCCCCCGCCGAGACGTATCGGCCCACGTCGGCTGCCCTTCCGCCGGGGCGGGGCTCGCGCCTGCTCTTCCCGATCCCCCTTGGTGGCGCAGGGGCCCAGTGGCCGACGTCATCGTGAGCGACGAGGACCTCGTGGCCATCAGCGCGTCCTCTCCGTCGTCAATCGGGCGATCAGGGCGCTCAACTGGCCAGAGGGTCTTGAGAGCAACGCTTTTTTGCATCGGTGTGACTTCACCGGCATGCACAACGAGGTAGTGGCGATTATCGAAGGCCTGGTCAGATCCCAGGAGCCGGTCGCTGACGCACACTCGCCGCGATCGTCATTTTTGCAGATGATCCGTGGCATCTCCCCTTACGAGGAGGGCCGATCGAACATTGCCCCCTTCCAGTTGCGCCTCGTCTCCTTGCCGGCCGACGTCTCCACGGCTCCGTCCGTCTACGACCTGGTCGACCAGCAGGGGCGCCTTGTCCTGGAGGGTTGTGGAGAGCGTATGCTACGAGACACCAATGACTTTGAAGACTTGCGACGGCGTGAGCCCGTCAAGCCGTGCTCAGATCCCCGGCTGGCGCGATCGCGCCGGCAGTGCCTCCGCTTCATCCGCCGCCTTCACGACATCGGCATGCTCCGGTACACCACGCAGCCGGTCGACTTCATCGGGTCCTTCTTCGTTTGGAAGAAGGGCAAAACCAAGCAGAGATTGATCCTGGACGGGCGGGCCGCCAACCAACGATTTGCTCAGCCCCCTCATGTGGACTTGCTGACCGCGGAG